CTTTCTCCTCCTCCTCCTTCTCCTCCTCCTCCTCCTCCTCCTCATGCATCGCCTCATCCTCCTCCTTTTCCGCCTTCTCCTTCTCCTCCTCCGCCTCCTTCTACATGTCCTTCCCCCCGCCGCAAGGAGTACGAGAAGCTCGCCATCTTCGGGGGCGTCCGCGCCAGGCGCGGGGCGGAGCTGAAGGCCATCGTCGTCGCCGCTGTCCTCGTAGTCGATGTCGTCGTCGTGATCGCCGCCGTCGTCGTCAACGTCAACGTCGTCGTCGTCGTCGTCATCTTCGTCTTCGTCGCCGTCGTCGTCGGCACTGTACTCGTCGTAGTTGTCGCCTTCGTCGCCTTAGTCGTCGCCGCCGCCGCCGCCGTCGCCGCGACGCCGTCGCCGTCGTCGTCGTTGTCGTCAACGTCGATGTCGTTGCAGATATCGTTGTCGTCGGATGAGGAGTGTGGAGAGAGTGAAACGTTGGAGGAGGAGGAGGAGGAGGTGGAGGAGGAGGTGGAGGAGGACGAGGAAGTGGCGCGGGAGGTGGAAGGGGATAGGGACGGAGGGGGGGGTGGGCGGTGTGGGAAAACGAGGACGAGAAACGAATTGAAGATCCTCAGCGCAGTTGGGGCAAAGAGAGGGAGGTTGAGGAGAGGGAAAGGTGGCTGAGAAGGAGTAGGGGAGATGAGGAGGAGGATGAAGGAAGATGTGAAGAGGAGGAGGAGAAGGAGGAGGAGGGGCAGGAGGAGGATGAGTAGCCACGAGCCAGGATCTTGAGGAAGAGGTTGAGGAGGAGGGAGGGCGAGGAGGAGCTAAAGGTCCTCAGCGCAGTGGAGACGAAGGTGCCAGGCTACTTCGCGAAGATCAGGGACGAGGTGGTCGGTCGGGAACCCGTCCTCTCTTCCTCATTGTCCGTCTTTATCATTTCATTTCCCCCTCCTTATTCTCACTTCTTACCACTCCTCTTCCTGCTCCTTATCCTGTATACCCTTTTCTCCTGGCAGTTTGCTCGTATGCACCCACCCCTTTTGCGCATGGCTCCAACACAGGTTTTACAAGGTTGTACCTTTCGTTTATTCAAAATGGTGCATCTGCCGAAGTGCTGGCTACAATTCAAGATCGGTGCACTGCTTCGTCGCTCGGATTGGCGCTCAGGGCGGGCCCCGTTTCTGGATCCGATGTCTTCCTCGTGTTGCCGTTCATTGCCTTCTGTCTTCTGCCTCCCCCTGCTCCTTCTCCTCCCTCTCATCCGCCGTCTCCTCCTCCCACTCCAGTGCGCCAGTGGCCCCGCTTGCAAACTGCAGAAAAACCTCGGGTCGATTCTTGAGACTGCCATTTGGGGATCAAGATGTTACAGCAAACCCCAACCCGCGGCTAGGACAGGCTAGAGATGTTAGGCTTGTCCGTCCTCCCTCCTTGTCCTCGAGGTAATCGACCGCGACAGGAACAAGGACAAGTCCGGCACCTGGGGCACCGACACGATGACCTTCCAGGACGACGAGCTGTCATACGCCCTCGGCAAGCAAGGTGCACACATTTGGGCGTCTTCTCTTCCCCTCTTCCTCCTCCTCCCCCTCTACACCTCTCCTCCTGCCCCTTCCTCCCCCCCCCCCTTCCTTCTCCTTCCCTCCTGCTTCCTTCCCCTCATCCCGCTCCCCGCCATCCCCCTCGCGCCACGTCGCGGTCTTTTCTTGAAGGCGGCACGCGCAAGAAGCTTGAGCGCTCCTCCGGCGCCATCGTGCAGTACGTCGGGCATACGGCGCTCTTCTCGGGCACAAAGCCCGAGCGCCGGCGCGCCAAGGAGTACATGAAGTGGCTGTTCGAGCAGCTCGAGGGGCCGGTTTACGTGGAGGGCTGGGAGAAGCGTGACCCGGGCGGCTGCGGAGTGGCCCCGGCCAGCGGCGGATCTGGGGCCGGCCCTCCTGACGCCTCCTACCAGCCCTCGGAGAAGAGGTTGAAAGGTTGAAGGCAGTCAAGCAGTGGCGGAGCGTCCCGGCTCGCCTATATAGCCCCACCAAGCAATGTTCTAAGAACCTGTTGTATGCACGAAATGTTTTTAGAGCATTTCTGGTTGAGACTGTCTTGGTTTAGCACATCGGGTTAATATTCTAAGAGCATTGGTTTTGTTCTTAGAACGTTTCTGGCTATAGGAATGCCGGGACTGTCGGTCCCTGCTCAAGGCAGGGGTCGGCCCTAGTGCAGTTTCTTTGGCCCCCTTTTGGAACCCTCCAGGTGACGACGTCACCGTGGTGGACGTTCCTTCGGACTGCATCGGCTACATCACGGGCAATCGCCGCGCGGCCATGGGGGCCATGGAGGAGGATTGGTGGGTCCCCTTTCCGCTCCCTGCATCCCCCTCTCCGAATTACCCTAGTAAACCGTCGCGCGGCGGATGCTGCGTGCTGAGGAGTGGGGCGTCCTGATGTTCTTCATGAACAAGCCTGGGGAGGGCAAGGGCAAGAGCAGGCGCCTTGTGTGTCGTTGTCGACCGCCGTCGTCATCTTCTCGTGGTCGGTACTCTGACGTCTTACGTGGTCGTAAGAGATTTTCGAAGTCGCCTCCAGCGAGAACACGCCACCCCGCCGTGCCCCCGAAGCGCGACTGGCACTAGAGAACAACCTCCTTGTTCTTCTGGGGGCGGTCTGGCGGCAGAGTATGAGAGGCTGTGGAGGGGCAAGCCATGGAAGGCAACACAGACGAAACAGTCCTGGGCGTTTCCTACGCAATCCTACCCTGTCCAGTTCGTTCCGTGGGTGCGCTTCCTGGACGCATTCGCTGGTAGGGGTACATCTCACAGGTCTGTAGTGTGTGTGTGTGTGTGGTTATTCTGCCCTTCAAGTGTTGACGGCCTGTGGGGAGCATAAGAGCAGGGGTGACTAAGAACCCAGCACGCCCCACCCACTTAAAGCCGGACTACACGGGGCGACAGGGTTGGGACTCAAGAGACGGGGGTCAATGCAAACGGGGGTCAGGCAGAGCGCCAGGTCTTGCAGGATCCTGCAAAGCCAGGGTTGCATTGACCTGGGCCTGGGTGCAGGGCCCTGCAGGATCCTGCAGGATCTTGCAAGATCATGCAAGGCCTGACTGCCCCGGGCTTGGGCTGACACGGGTCAATCAATCCCCGACAGGTGTTGGTTGTCGACACTTGCCCAGCCCGTCCATTTTGGGGGCCACGGTTCACTTCTCATGGTTTTGCTTCTCGCAGGTCGGCTCGAGGGTTGCATTTGGTTTGCCTGGAGACTCTTTGAATCTCATGGCAGTTTAAAAGTGTGCAGTGTGAAGGTGGGGTTCATTTGCCAGACGGGGCTAGGATGAGGATCAATCTGGTCCAGAGCGTTCCGGCACGCTCTCAGAGCTTTCTGGAACGCTCTGAGAAGGTCACGGCGCCCGACACATCCTCCAGGGCCGCCGGATCTCAGAGATTTTCGATCTATCCTCTCCCGAATTGATCCTCGTCCTGGCTTCGTCTTAGTTCGCTTGTTTGGGAATGAATCGAGCCGCCAAGCCATACACAGCAATCTCCAGCGCGGGTGTTCGAGACGGCACGCCGCGGTCACCTCACCACCCCAAGTTGGGGATCTGCCCCTCGAAACCCGAAGAACCGCGGGGGGACGAGGGTCTCCGTAAGACTCAGCCAGGACGAGGATAACATCGGATAAGGATAAATCGAGAATCTTTGAAATCCGGCGACTCTGGAGGATGTCTTGGGCGCCGCGGCCTTCTCAGTGCGTTCCGGGACGCGCTGAGAGCGAATTTCTCCTCGTCCTAGCCCCGTCCCGTTCCTGGAAGGCCCAGGCAGGCGAACACGAGACGGGTGCCTCCGGCTCGTCTGACTCCTCCTTCTCTCTCAAGCCTCAGGGCCCTCGAGGGCCCTTTTTGGGGGGCCAGGGGGGGTGCGCCAGGGAATCCCGGAGGAGCGGGAAGAAGGGGAGGACGGGACGAGAGGGGGAGCGGGAGGAGGGGAGGACGGCACGAGAGGGGAGGAGGAGGAGGAGGAGGAGGTGGGGAGGAGGAGGGGAGGGTTAGGAGGAGGGAGGAGGGGAGGTGGGAGGGAGGTGGAGGGAGGTGGAGAAGGACACGCTGGGAGCCTCCACGACTCGCCAGCGCGGAGCAGAGATGTTCCAGGACATGCCCGAAGCAGCCGACGGCCCGGGCCCTCAGTGGGACGGCAGGCGGGCGCGAGCCTAGGGCTGTTGCCCCGCTGCGGCATGCCCCGCGGCGCCGCAGCGCGCCGCTACAGCGGGTCGCTCCCCTCCCCTTGGGCGGAGATGAAGAGATCACACCATGGGGGGGGGGGGGGGGGAGTCCACCTATCAGCCCAGTTGTTTCCTGCTTTGCGGCCTCCTCGGAGGCCCTCGTCGCCACCGTCGCATGCGCTTCGAAGTTCTGGTCGGAACGCACCCCGGGAGCGGTACGGGGAGCAGCCGTATGGGTACCCTTGGGGGGGGGCAATGGGTACCCTTGGGGGAGCCCCGGGAGTGGCCTCCCCAATCTAGGGGGGAGCAATCGGTCAGTGGGGCCCCGGCCACCCTTGGGAATCGGGATCGTTTCAAGGATGCTCAGGTTGAGCGATCCTGCTGGAGTCGAGGCAACAGCGGGCGAGCTTCTGTTTGCGGGTCGTCCCACTCTGCTGCGGGAGGAGGCGGTCCTACCCCGTCCGGAGGTCCAGCAGTCGGGCAATCAGCAGGGGTCCAGCCAGCCCGTGCCAATGATCGCCCCCCTTGTGCCAAACCAGTTCCAAAGCATCCCTCGGTTCGCGCGAGCGAGCAGCGCAGAGGAGGGATGCACCTGGTGCGAGCGCCGAGCGTGCTGGAGCCAGCCTCCATCGGAAAAACGGCAGCAGGGCAATACCCAGGAAGGGGAAGGAGGCAGGAGCGGAGAAGGACCACGAGCGCGAACGGCTACGAGTGAGAAGCCAGCGCACAAGCCGTCGCGACACAAGCGAGCTGTAGGGAGTCAGGGGAAGCGGATGGTCGTGGGAACAAGCTTAGGGGAACGGACGATGGGTTAACACACAATTACTCAGAAGTCCGCGCGGATTTCTTGGATCGGCGCTGGGCCCCCCTCCCTGGCGCTCGCCGCCAGGCGGGTCCAGCGCGGATGCGAGAAACTCGCGCGGACCTCTGAGTTTTTATGCTCATGTCGTTGTTCGTCCCCCTATGTAGGTTGTCAGGTGAAGCGGATGGTCGTGTTTGTTCGGACAGACCTCCTACCCTGACACGTCGATTCAGGAATTGGCCGTTTTCGGTTGGCGAGAGGGCTTCGCGGCCGTCATTTTTGCGGGTCCAGGTCCGTCGGTTTCGGTCCCACGCCGTTTTCACTAAGGGGAGGTTTACTAAAGGGAGGTTTGTCCACCGCCGATCGTGGGGACAAATTGTTCCAGATCAACTGCGATGGCATCGCCTCCAGCAGTCTGGTCCTTGCACATGCGGTGCAGCCGGGGAGCCTCTTCGGAGGGGATCCGCGCCTCACCTCACAACTCTGGCGTCCGTCGTCGTCGTCATTGTCATTGTCCTAGTAGTCGTCGTCGTCTTCGTCGTCGTCGGTATTCTCTGTGTCGTCGTCTTCCTCGTCGTCTCAGGGGCGGCAGCGAGATGCTCATCATCTGCGGGGCCGAGCGCCCCCGCCGTGGCGCCGAGCTCAAGGTGATGAGCAGCGTCGAGACGAAGAACCCCGGCACCTTCACGAAGGCTGGGAGGGCATATTCTACGCATGTCTGCCGTGATTCGAAGAAGGGGAAACTGCAGAAACATACATTTTCGGTGGTCCGTACGGATCTCTTGGTCTGCGCTGCGTTGGGCCCCCCTGGCAGCGCCTCCGGCGCCGCCCCGCGCGGACCGGCGAAAGTTTATGTTTATGCCGCTTGTTGTTCCTCTAGTGATGCGCACGTGTCTTCAGGGAAACCGGCCATGGATGACCGATTTCGGCATTTTGGGGCCTTTCCTGGGACTCGGGCCCGTCAGAATCCGCATTTTTTCAGGATCCCTGGGGAGGGAGGAGGGCACCCGGCTCCAGGACCCGTTTCCCTCAGGATAGCATTCGCATATCTCCTCCTCCCCCTCCTTGCTTCCCTCTGCCACGCTCACATCAGAAGTTGTCGCGGCGAATCCGTGCTCACGGCGGAGCTGGAAGCTCCTTCTTATTCGATCGGAGCTCTTTTCCCGTGGTGCACTGCTCGATCGTGGCGAGGCTCCCCTTCTCATGAAGTCAGTCCCGGCTGGATCGGCGCGCCTCAGGCTACGTCTACTCCTCTCCGTCTCCCTCCGCCAGCCTTCTCGTGCAGCCCTCCCTCCTCCCTTGAAGGCTTATCCCTCCGCCTTTTCATGCAGCCCGTCGTCCTCCCCGTGTTTCCTTCTTCTCCTCTCCCTCTTCCTCGTTGCTTCATTCTGGTAGGATCGAGTGTGTACGTTGTCGGCCATGGTTGAGGGCGTTATCATTGTTATGAATCGTCTCCTTCATGTTCTTCTTGTGCTTCGTCTTCTTCTTTCCCAGAAGAGTCTCATGGAGGCTTCTGGGACCTCCTGGGGCTTTGGGGTCCCCAGGCGTTTTCATGAAGCTCGGGGGTATATCCAAAACGTTCGAGGCATTTACCATGCAGTGGGGGGGCATGCCAAGAAAATCCCTGCTTGCCTCCAGGGTGCCTTGGGTTTCTTGGGTGTCGAAGGCCTTGCGATGGAGAGCGCGACGTGCCCACCCCTTCCCACCCCAAACATCCATGGACGTCCTGGGGTCTCAGGGTTGGGTTTCTTGCGGAAGGTCTCCTGTGGTCGGGCCTCCACTGTATCCAAAACGTCCGAGGCGTTTACCATGCTCGTCTGGGCTCCTGGGGCGTTGTCGACGCCACGGCTGGAGGCACCTCGAAGTGCTGGCCAGAATGCGCCTCGGGAGAGGGCAGGCTCGAAGATCGATTCAGTCAGTCAAGCCAGGCGCCAGCAACGGCGCATCGGCAGGATCGAAGGTCGATTGCCAGATCGTGTCCCCTTTCGGGGATCGAAGATTGATTGCATGATTGCGAAGATCTTTCGAGGATCGAAGAAGAGGGAAGGACCGAATAGTGTTTCGTCTCAGCTTTGGCCTCCAGAGGCCCCTAATGGGCATCCAGGGACTCCCAGGGATGTCCAGCGGCGGGATGGGCTCTACATACCTCGTAGGCAACCCCTCGAAGGTGGCGCAACCTTCGCGAGGGAAGCGAGGTTGAGGATGCAGGGATGAGAGCATGAGGCAAGCCTTGGCACTTTCAGATATGGTCGTGTGGGTAGGCCGAAGGGTTTGTGAAACGCTCCGCAGTTGCTACCCGTGCGAGTACGATCTGATGGTTCGCAGTATAGCAAGACGAAGCAAGGTGGAACCAATGTCTGAGCCTCCTGCCGCTCCTCCTCCTCCCCCTCCTCCTCCTCCTCCTCCTTCCCTACTCCCCCTCCTCCTCCTCCTCCTCCTCCTCCTCCTCCTCCTTCCCTCCTCCTCCTCCTCCTCCTCCTCCTCCTCCTCCTCCTCCTCCTCCTCCTCCTCCTCCTACCTACCTCAAGTCCTCCTCCTCCTCCTCCTCCTCCTCCTCCTCTCTCCTTCCGCCACAACTTCTCATAATCATTATCTTCCACCCTCTCCACTTCATGTGGGTTCCCTTTACTGCTCCCGCTCATGCATTACTCTCTACCTCCTCCTCCTCCCCTGGCCAGTCCTCGTCGTCAGCTTCCCCCTTCCCCTGTTGGTTTTCCTCCTGCCCGTCAGTTTGGCTTTCCCTGCCTCATACTTCCTCGTCCCCCGTCTCCTCCTCCTTTACCTTCTCCTCTTCCTCCTCCCCGCCTCCCTCGTCTTTCTCGTCACCGAATTTCATACTCAATCCTTGTTTCTCCTCCTCCTTCCCTTTCTCATCTTCCTAATCCTCACCCCCCTCTTCTTCCTCGTCAGATATGTTGACTTTCCCTACCCCATTCTTCCTTCCCTATCCTCGTCCAACCGACCATTCGTCTGGCCTGCACTTCGTGTACAACAGCCTTATCTCTTCCCCCCCTTACTCCTGCGCCTCGTCATCCCTCTTCCTCCTCCTCCTCCTCCTCGATCTTAATTCCCCGTCCTCCCCTTCCACTCCTCGTCTTCCGTCTGGTCCCACTCCACATCTTGTTCCCCCCCGCCTCGCTCTCAGTCATTCCTTCCCGCCTCCTAACCCCTATCGCCTCGTCATCCTCGTCCTCGTCTTCCTCCCCCTGCCCCTTCTCCTCCTCCTCCTCCTCCTGCTCCTCCTCCTCCTCCTCCTCCTCCTCCTCCTCCTCCTCCTCCTCCCCCTCACCCTCCACATCTTCCTGCTCCCCGCATCGTCCTCCTGCTCCTGCCCCTTCACCTCATAGGGGACATCCGCCGGTGGTCTCCCTCCCCTCTCCACGACCAGGGGATCCGCGAGAAGAAGTCGAACGAGAAGGGCTTCGACACCGACCGCATGATCTTCCGCGACGACGAGCTCAGCTACGCGCTTGGCAAGGAGGGCCACCGTCTCCCTCAGAAGCGCCTCATGGGTTGTTCTTCAGGTTTCCGCTGATGTTATTCGGTTTGCCAGCTGCGCCCCGTAAGGTGCGCCCATGGACTGCTAGAGTCGTCCCAAACAGGCGCAGGGCCACCTCCCCCTGAGATGCGTACGCCCTCGGAAGCCGAGGCCGCCGGTGTTTTGAGGCGTGGTCTACTCGCAAGACCACCAGGGCCAGATTTGTTGCCTTCCCCTGCCACGGCATCGAGGCCCGTCCGCCCTGGCCGACGCTTCCATCGGATATGGACCGTTCGCGCTCTTCGGGAGCCTGGGCGGTCGTTGTCGTGGTCTAGGCTGTGCTTACCCGACGGGGGTCAGGATGCCACAGTGTTCTGTACCGTCTGTGGTGTTTGTTGGCAAGTGGATTGGGATGAATCTTGCAATAGCACAGGGTGCATCTCACATCAGACTGTCTGTCGCTAGGGCACAGAGTAGGATGAGGAGGAGGAGGAGGAGGAGGAGGAGGAGGAGGAGGGCCTCCACACACCCCCTCCTTCCTTGGTTGCTTACCCCTTATCCCCCATTATCCTTCTTCCTCTCCGTCGTCTCCCCCATTGCCCTCTAGCCCCGTCCCCTAGTCCATCCTCCTCTTTCTCGTCGTCTTCCGCCTTCTCCTCCTCCTCGTCCGACCTTCTCGCCCTCCTCCCTTCTTCTACTCCTATGCGTTTCCCCTCCTCCCCCCCTTACTTATCCATCTCTCTTCCCTCCTTCTCCTGCTTCGCGTTCCTCTGCCCCCCCCTCCTTCTGCGCCCTCCCCTCCCCCCTGCCCCTCTCCCCGTCAGCCTCGACGTAGGCGGCCCTGGGAAGCCCGCGGGACAGGGGGGGAGGAGGAGGAGGAGGAGGAGGAGGAGGAGGAGGAGGAGGAGGAGGAGGAGGAGGAGGAGGAGGAGGAGGAGGAGGAGGAGGAGGAGGAGGAGTGGTGGAGGAGGAGGAGGAGGGAGGATGAGAGGAGAGGAGTGTAAGAAGCGGAGGAGGTTGGGGTTGATGAGGAGGAGGAGGGGAGGAGGAGGAGGAAGCGGAGAGTAGGAGGAGGAGGAGGAGGAGAAGGAGGAGGAGGAGGAGGAGAAGGCGGAGCCCCCCCTCCCCCCCCGGTCTGCGAGGAGGGCGCCACCCGCAAGAAGCTCGGGGGCTCCTCTGGGGCCGTGCTGCAGTACGTGGGCCACGTCGCCTTTATCGCCGGCGACCTGAAGACGCGGCGGCGCCTCGGGTCGGCGACCATTCGCTTGGCATCGCTCGGAAGTGTGCAGCTTTTCTCGGCGAGGGCCCTCGAGGAGCAGTTTCGAGCATGCTGCGAAACATATTCACACACGAAACCGCAAATTAGCCTGGCAAAGGACCCAACCAGATGCAGTTGTGCACACCGCAATTGTGAAGATCTTCTTCGGTGGCGCTCCCTAAGGCTCCACGAACCCTGTGAGGGGTGTCCTCACATGGTTGCGGGGGACGCATGTGGACGGTGGCACTGGGCCTTTCGGTGGAGCTTCCTTTGGGGCCACGAAACGTGTGAGCGGGTTGCCGAAATGGGTGTGGGGGACGCATGTGGGCGGTGGCACTGGGGCCTTCGGTGGAGCGCCCCACGGGGCCACAAAACGTGTGAGTGGTGTGCCGAAGTTGGTGCGGGGGACGCATGTGGACGGTGGCGCTGGGGCCTTCGGTGGAGCTCCCTATAGGGCCACGAACCCTGTGAGGGGTGTGCCGGGGTTGCATGAGGACGGTGGCACTGGGGCCTTCGGTGGAGCCTCCTATGGTGCCACGAAGTGTGCGAGAGGTGTGCCGAAATCGGTGCGGGGGACGCATGTGGACGGTAGCGCCGGGGCCTTCGGTGGAGCTCCTTATGGAGCCACGGAGTGAGTGAGGGGTGTGTCGAAATGGAAAAGAGGGGCAGGGATGGGAGGAGGGAGGGGGCAGCAGGAGGAGGAGTGGGGACGCGGGGCGCCGTCTCTTCAAAACGAGGACCCAACACCACAGGATGGCTGGGAAACATGCTCGGGGAAGGGCCTTCTAAGGCAATGGCGGATCCGAGAGCTCAGAGGAGGAAAAGGCATCGATGCCGCTGCCATTGCTTCGTGTTGGCGTCTGCGGGTCTCCCAGGAGGCCCTCGTCGCGTCGGCACCGCTGGATGTGCTATGCAAGTCTTGCTAGAACGCACCCCGGGAGAGGTCTGGGGAGTGTCTGTATGGGTACATTGTGGCTTCCCCACCTCCTCCTCCTCCTCCTCCTCCTCCTCATCCTCCTCCTCCTCCTCCTCCTCCTCCTCCTCCTCCTCCTCCTCCTCCTCCTCCTCCTCCTCCCTCCGTAGCCATTTGGCTCAAGCCGTATCGGCTCAGGGTGGTCTGCGCGACCCTCTCGGCCTGGCACCCCCCGGGTCTGGGACCATGCGGGGATCCTGCAAGCGCGGGCCCGAACGACGCCGGAGTATCGGACACCCCTTCTGGGGGCTCCCCTGGCTGCAGAGGCAGCCTTCCGGCACGGGTCCCCAGCCTTTTGGTTCCGAAGTCTCACCGGCGCGGACGGGGGGCCCACAAGCGGTTGCTGATCGGAGAGCCCCCTGGCCCGCTCGCTTCCGCCGCCCCACGAGGAGCAGAAGCGGCGCAGGCATCAACGTTCGGAGGTCCGCGCGGATGTTTTGGGCGGGGTGCCGGCCCCCCTGGTGAGCAACACGCGCTTCGGGTGTTTGTTGTTGCCCCCCTCAACGTCCGCCATTCCCGCCTCATCATCATCTGCCTTCTCCTCTTCGCCGTGGCCCTCGTCTTACTTCTCCGCCTGTCATCCTGCGCCGTGCTCTTCGTGTGCCTGTTTCTCGTCCGATCCGTCGGCGTCCTCCTCGTCGGCATCCTCCTCCTCCTCCTCCTCCTCCTCCTCCTCCTCCTCCTCCTCCTCCTCCTCCTCCTCCTCCTCCTCCTCCTCCTCCTCCTCTCTCCCCGTCAGGGGCCTAATAGCATACTTAAGTGTGCGCGACCAGTTTCCGTCCGCCTGCGTTTGAACGAGGTCTCTCGTGCGCACATGATCGTGGAGGGCGTACACGCGCACGTGTCTTTGTCCCCTCCGATCGTTGTCGTCTTCCCTGTCCTCGTAGTTCTTGGTCGTCGTCCTCCTCATCCTCGTTCGATTCCTCCTCCTTGTCCTCGTTCGCTTCCTCCTGCTCGTCCTCGCTATCCTCCTTGTCATCCTCCTGCTTGCGAATCCCTCCTTTCTTTCCCCTGCTTCCTCAGTCGTGTAAGCATTTTACCCTGCCGCTCATTGTGACGGGAGTCAAACACTCATCAGGCAGACGCTAGCCAGGTCAGCAGACGGCCAGATCGCCCATGCAAACCAGCGGCTCGCTTGCTTCCTTATTTAGCCAACATGGTATTACTCATTATCAGTTTGCCGCTATAGCTTAATCTTTCCTTATCCCTGTGCCTCGGCAACGCATTCTCCGTATGTTTTGTCATCCTCGCAGTACACCTCGGTATCCTCCTCCTCCTCCTCCTCCTCTTCCTACTCATCCTCTTTCCCCTCCCCTGCAGCAGTATCTGCAAACCTCGCCGTCGGTCAGAGCCTCACCACCCCGTTCCATGTCCTGCCTTTCGTTGTCATATTCGTGCTCCTCCTCCTGCGTCCCCTGTGTTCGGTATCCCTTAATCCTCCTCCATTTATCTGGTTACTCGTCACCACCACCACTACAATCAGCATCGTCACCATCCGCATGATCAGCAGTATCGTCATCATCATGGTGATCAGCAGCATCATCATCATCATCATCATCATCATCATCATCATCATCATCATCATCATCATCATCATCATCATCATCATCATCATCATCATCATCACCGTCATCACCGTCATCACCACCACCACCATCATCATCATCATCGTCATCATCACCATCATCAACACCATCATCATCATCATCATCATCATCAGCATCATCATCATCATCATCATCGTCATCGTCATCATGATCAGCAACATCATCATCGTCTTAATCAACAGCAACATCATCATTACCATCAGCCTTCTCACCACGGCCATGGTCATGGTCATGATCAGCATTATGATCATGGTATTCCTCCTCATCATCAGCAGCATCAGCAGCATCAGCATCAGCACCACCACCATCATCATCATCATCATCATCAGCATCATCATCATCATCATCATCATCATCATCATCGTCAGTCTGATCATCATTTTGATCATCACCATCAGCAGCAGCAACAGCATCATCATCATCATCATCATCAGCAGCAGCAGCATCATCATCAAAGTCGCTGTCCTCATCGCCATTCTTGGCCCAGGCCGCGCCCCCGAGCGCCTTGGTCTTGCCGCCGCGCTCTTCGGAGCGGCCCGCGGCGGCGTGCCGTGACCGGGAGATGGTGGGCATGGCGAGCCCGCCGCCGCTCCTCGTCGCCCGCCGCGGCGACCTCTTGCTCGAGGCGCACTCCTGCCTCATCGCCGAGGCGCTGTTGGCCCGCTTCTTCGCTGGCGAGGCGGAGGACGGGGACAGCAGCGAGGCTCGGCGGACCGCCGAGCGGGCTCGGCCGCGCACCGCTTGCGAGCAGGAGCTGGAGAGCAGCCCGGCGGGCTCGTTCTTCATCGGGGGCCTGCAGCCCGTTCTGGAGGTGGGCGTGGACGAGCAGGACGACGAGGTGGCGCTGCACGTCGAGAGCGGCGTCGTGGCGCTGGACTTCGCCGGGGACGACGAGTGGTACGGCGGCTCCGGAGGCGAAGCAGCTCCTCAAGTCGTTACAGGTGCCGATCTGGCTGAGGACGAGGGTCGCGGTGGCGAGGGCAACTCGTGCGAGCAGGTGGGCCTGGTCGCGCACGTGCAGGCGTTCCCCTCGAGCTGGAGGCGCAGCGGGAGATCGCGGACGCTGAGGACGTCAAACATCCCCCCGAGGGCTCTGACAGCACCATGGGGCAGGCGAGCGAGGGGTTCGCTGCTCAAGTCGGGAACGAGGGCGGCTCGAGGGTCGGGGAGCAGCTGCTGGACGGCGCTGCGGGCGTCAGCGAGGGCTTCACGGAGGGCGGGCTGGAGCGCAAGCTGGAGGCCGAGGCCGTGAAAGAGCTCGCGAAGCCTGCACTCGCCAGGTGCCTGCCGGGGCCGCCGCCGGGGCCGCCGCGGGCCCCTCCTGCATGGACGACCTCGTCCGCGCAGTCGGCGCCCCCGCGCGAGCCAGCACTCGCCGGGGGCCAGCAGGGGCCGCCGCAGCAGGAGGCTGCGGTCTCCAGCGAGGCGTTCATGGCCAAGGTCGGGGACGGGCCCAGCGTCTGGAGCAGCTGCTGGACGATGCCGTGGTCGTCGGCAGGGGCTTCACGGAGAGCGCGGAGCTTGGCTTGCAGCACCGCCCCGGCCCCGCGATCAAGGCCAGCCAGGCCTAGTCGCGTGTGGACGCGGCGCGCGCCGCTCAGAAGGGCCAGTGGCGGCTCGCGACCGATGTGCTGGTTGACAAGACGTTCGAGGCCCCTGTCGTGGCGTCGGAGGCGCAGGTGGACGGCCGCTCCGAGGTGCCCTCCCCAGGGGCCCCCGAGGTCCAGGAGCACGCGGAGCCGCAGTCGGCGCTTCTTGAGGGCCTCGACCAGGCTGCGAAGGCCATCGGGCTCGGTAGGCACGATTGGGACTTGGTCTCCGGGGCACTTCGTCGTGATGCTGCCGTCGATACGAATTGCTTCGCGCAGCGCAAGGCCACAGTTGAGGCGCTCCAGTCTGTAGCGCTGTCGACGGCGTGGTGTGGATGGAGCTGGACGACGCCGCCGAGTACGGATACTCGGGCCCCTTCGTCCTTCCTCGTGTGCGGGTACGGCGTGCTCGTGAATTTCTTCGGCCTCGAGCTATGGGTTGCATGGGGAGCCGCCGCTGCGGCAAGGCGGTGGTTCGGCTGATCGCCCGAGACCCACCCGAGCCACTCCCATCAGCATCACCATCACCATCATCGTCATTATTATCACCATCATCATCGTCATCATCAGCATCGTATTCATCGTCATCGCCATCATCATAAACATCATCACTTCCATCGTCACCATATTCATCGTCATCGTCATCACCATCTCTCGTATCATTAGCAGCCCTCTGTTGCCCCTCCACTTTCCAGCACCCGCCACCCGTATCCAGATTTTTCGTTCTCATCCTGATCCTCCTCCTCCCTCGTCCCCACACCCCCGCACTTCTCCCACAAGCTATCGGCCCATGGACCTTTCCCGGGGCCCATTCTGTTGGGACTCCTGAGGGGAGTCTAGCCGTGGAAGCGAGACGCATCCCCGAGGGGCATTCCGATGCCAAACCCCCAGTCTCATTACCCTCCCAAATAACAAAAATGAATCGTCAAACCGCTTTTCTCTTAGAAACCCCTCACCCCCTCAGTCCTCCTCATCCGCAGTCCTGACTCCTCCTTGAACCATCTTCTTCCTCCTCAGCCGTGCGGCCTTCGGGAAAAGGCGCTGCCGGGAGTTCATCGACTGGCTGCTGCAGCAGCGGAAGGGCTCCGTCACCATCGCCGACGTTTCGCAGCGGGAGGAACGCGCGCCAAACGGATGACGATGATGATGATGGTTATGATGATGATGATGATACTGATGATGATGACGTTGATGATGATGATGATGATGATGATGATGATGATGATGATGATGACGCTGACGATGACGATGATGATACTGATAATGATAATGATGATGATGATGATGATGATGATGATGCTGATGATGATGATGATGATGATAATAATGATGATGATGGTGGTGGTGGTAATGATAAGGACGATGATGATGATGCTGATGATGATGATGATGCTGATGCTGATGCTGATGCTGATGATGATGATGATGATGATGATGATGATGATGATGATGATGATGATGATGATGATGATGATGATGATGATGATGATGATGGTTGTGATGATGGTGAGGAGAAGGAGAAGGAGGCAGAGGAGGAGGAGGCGGAGGGAGGAGGAGGAGGAACAGGATGAGCAGCAAGAGGAGGAGGAAGAGAAGGAGGAGGAGGAGGAGGAGGAGGAAGAGGAGGAGGAGGAGGAGGAACGACCAGGAGAATGGACAAGGGGGAGGAGGGTCTGGAAAGCGAGATGGGGCAGAGGAGTAGGAGGAAGGAGGCGGTCCGATGAAGGAGGACGAAGAAGCAGTTGTGACGAGGAGTGGAGGACGAGCAGTTGTGGGGGGTAGCGATGTGTATGGTTCGCGGGAGTGTGTTTGGATGCCTGCGTGTGGACCGCGAGTGCGAGGGGGAGGTATATGACACAGGACTCGGTGAGCGGCATCTGAGACCCACGGGACCACGAGGTGGAGGGAACGAAAGAGTTGCAAGAAATCGGGCGAGGAAGAAGGGGGAGGAGGGATAGGGAAGGGAATGCGGGGAGAAGGACGAGGAGGAGGAGGAGGTTGGGGAGGACGGTGAGGGTAGTGATGCTGTAGTGGGAGAGGTTGGTCGGGAGGAGGAGGAGGAAAATTATGAGGATGAAGAAGAGAAGGACGAGTTCATGAGGTGGCTCGCGCTGCGATAAAGACCGTATCCGCCGCGCCAAGAGGAGGAGAAGGATGATAATGAGAAGATCGCGGGGGAAGGCTAGGACTAGGAATGGGACGATGAGTTGGAGGAGGACGAGGAGGAATACTCCGACGCGCTAGGACACCACCGAGGTGCATGTCCCCGAGAATTGCAAGGGCTGGGTGACCGGCAATCGCGGCCACCAGGGGGCGGCCGAAACCACCGCGGCGGCGGCAGCCGCCTTCCAGTGAGGGAGAGGGGAGGAGGAGGAGAGAGCGGAAGGTGCGAGGAGGAGGAGGAGGAGGAGGAGGAAGAGAAGGAGGAGGGGGTTGCGGAGGAGGGGGAGGAGGAGGATGGTCAGGAGGAAGAGGAGGAGGAGGAGTAGGAGGTGGAGGAGGTGGTGCAGGAGGAGGAGAGGGAGGATGATCAGAAGGAGGAGGAGGTGGGAATGAGGAGGAGGAGGGAAGGAGGGAGGAGAAGAAGAAGGAGGAGGAGGGTGAGGCGGAGGAGGAGGAGGGGTAGAGGGTAGAGTGAAGGAGGAGGAGGAGGAGGAGGAGGATCGAGGAGGAGGAGGGTGGGCTCGGAGGAGGAGGAGGAGGAGGAGGAGGAGAGAGGAGGAGGAGGTGGAGGAGGGGGAGGAGGAGGATCAGGAGGAGGAAGAGCAGAAGGAGGAGGGAGAGAGGGGGAGAGAAGGAGGAGGAGGAGAAGGAGGAGGGGGGGAGGAGGATGGGGAGGAGGGAGGAGGAGGAGGACGTGGAGGAGAAGGATGAGGAGGAGGCGGAGGAAGCAAGGTGTGGCCGCCGCGAGGCTCGGAGCTTCGTCGCATGGAGCAGGAGACGGGCACCTTCATGTTCATGGCGCTGGACGGGAGGGGCATGGAGCGGCTCCTCCGCCTGTGAGGGGAACAAAGGAAACACTCCTACGCCGCCTTTTTGACATGCCGACTAGGAGGAGGAGAAGGAGGAGGAAAAGGAGGAGGAGGAGGAGGAGGAGGAGGAGGAGGAGGAGGAGGAGGAGGAGCAGTAGGACGAGACTGATGGCGAGGAGGAGGAGGAGGAGGAGGAGGAGGAGGAGGAGGAGGAGGTGGGGGTAAGGGGCAGAAGGGTGAGGAGGAGGAGGAGGAGGCCGAGAGAAGGACCGAGGAGGAGGAGTGGTCCAAGGATTGCCAGGAGAGCGAAGAGGAAACGGCGGAGGGGGAAGAGGGGGAAGGGGCGGAAGGGTATTGGGACGGCTTGGAAGAGCGGCTCCTCCTCTTCCCTTCCGTCCTCCTTCCTCTTCCTCCTCCTCAGTATCATCATCACCATCAACATCATCATCAGCAGCATCATCACCAGCACAATCATCATCATCATCATCATCATCATCATCATCATCATCATCATCATCATCATCAGCATCAGCATCAGCATCATCATCATCGCCACCACCAACATCATCAGACTCTTCATCAACCTTGCATCATTCTCAACATACTCATCATTAACACTGGCAGCACTCTCATCATACTTGCCAGCATCACCATCATCAGCAGCAATAGCATCATAATCAGCACCACCATCTACATTATCTTCATCCGGGGGGGCATCCTTTTCATCATCAGATCATCATCACTATCCTACTCATCATCATGTCAACGCCATCGATACCTTCGTCGTCATCATCGTCATCGTCAGCATCTAAACGTACACTCCTCGTCCGCCTCATTCTCGTTCCCGCTCCCTCTTCGGCTCCTAGTCCCCCCTCCCGCTTTCAACCACATGATTGGCTTGCTCGTCTCCCTTATCGGAGTCCTCTATGTTCCCTCCTCATTGCACAAGTTCCCTTCTCAGCATCCTCATTCCGTTCCACCTCTGCATTGTTTTTGTTGTTCCCCATTCGAGGTACATGCATCATTCTTCGCTATCCTCTCCTAGTCCCTACCCCTTCAGCCGCACACATCTATCATCACCCCCATTCGCCAAGGGAATCCGCATTCTCATCACCGGCACACCCCTCACCATGGCCCCAAAATGCAGATGAGACGGAGGGGAGAGGAGGAGAGGGGTAGAGGAGGGAGGAGGGAGAGGATGACAGAGGTTCGTGGACGAAAGAGGAGGAAGAAGGTCCGAAGGGGAAGTTCGCGCAGGAACGGGGGTGGAGTCTCCAGTTGAGTCCCGATGGCTCGTTACCGCCCCTTGGGGCGAGGTTCACCCTGTTGCGTGTGCCTTGGCCCCGCAGGGCCTTCGGGTCATCGCAACTAGGGTATGGGCACTGTCCCTCAGGACGTGGCCCTGGGCGGGGAGCGAGGGAGAGAGGAAGGGGAGAGGACATCAGCCGTACCCCAGGAAAGAGGGGAGGAGCCAGTCAGGCCTGTTCGTGCCATACTAGCTGGCGCCCTGCCTATCTCGCACAACCCCTCCCGATGCGCTGCAGGGTTTCTGTATCCGCAGACGCGTGTCCAAGCGGACCTGGAAGGTTCAAACAGAGAAGCCACTCCCCGAACAGTGCTTGCACGAGGGGGGGGCTAATACCTGGCTCCCTCAGATGCCTGGACGGGTCCGCCGAGGACCTCCCACGCTGCCCCCCGTGCCGCCTGGAATGCGTGCAGGCGCCCCGAGCGCTGGATGGGTCCGCCGGGATTGTACCCCGTGCGGGGGGAGGGGCCGCCAAGGCAGCGCAGCGTGGCTGCCCGTGCCGCCCTGCGGGTGCTCGCGGGCGCCTCGTGCGCTGGGTGGGTCCGCCGAGGCCTCGCCACGCTGCCGCCCGCACTGCTCTCGTGGGCGTTGGCGCCTCGTGCGCTGAGGTTACTCCACAGGGCTTGCGCGGCAGTGCTCGCACGGCACGGCTGGCACCGCACAGCCTGCACCGCACATCTCGCACTACATCCATCGCACCACGCTGCTCAGACCGTGTGGCTTTCGCATCCAGCTTACCACCACGCAGCTTACACGACATAGCTGCCGACACAGCTCCCACGACGTAGGCTGCGCCGCTTAGCTGCCACTTCTATAGCTTTACTCGCTACATAGCTAACACCACATTTCTCATGACACGTCGCGCACAACGCGTATATCCCTTCACGTCGCAACATCTCACAGGTAGGGGTCCACGATGCCTAGCATATGTTTCCTCGTGATCGGAGAATGGGAGCTAGCCGTGTACGTACGAGGAGGAGGTGTCGGAAGGGTGAGAGGTTGAGCACATGTAAAATGGGAATGCGGAGGGGTATGGACGAGGACGAGCATCAGCAGCAGGAGCTTGAGCGGAAGGAGTGGGAGGATCAGGAGGACCCGCGGAAGGCGGAAGAGGAGCAAGACGAGGGACGACAACGATTGGGAATGACTCGGGTTCACAGAAGTGGCCCGGTGGGGCGAGAGTACCACTCTGAACGACGGGAGCACAGCGCCGATGCTAAATTGAGGCTCACGCTGCAGCGGCAGCACCATTTTGAAGAACCGAGAACCGTCGCATGGTATCACGAACGAGAAACACACACATACTAAAGTCCTGCGTGTTAGAAGAATGCGCGGAGAGGGCGGGACATCTTCCGCACAAAGTCAGGTGAGAAGGGAGTGTCGTATTTACATGGGGTATCTGGGGAGGGGGAGGAGGAGGAGGAGGAGGAGGAGGAGGAGGAGAAGGAGGAGGGGGAGAAAGACGAGGACGAGGAAGGAGCCTTCCACTCTGCCCCCCCCCGTCCTCGGCCTCCACGTCGTTGCCCCCTTGTTCCCGCGAAAGCGGCGGCGGCGACGACGACGACGACGACAAGGCTTCTCATCTTCTGCCACGACCCTGGCACCAAGACGAGCCCGCATGGCCGCATGGCCGCCGAGCGCTTGGTCAACGAGATGATCCAGGAGACTATGTCAATGCAGCTGCCACTGGGAGGGAGGGAGACACGCGCCGGATGAAGAAAAGAAAAGGGGACGAGGCAGAAGAGGATCGCATGTCCGGTTCATTGAACGCTATTGTCGTTCTGGGTCGTCAGGGAGGTTCCTCGATGCTACAGCAGGCGACGCTTCGAGGGCATGCTCGGAGCGCGGACGGGGATAGGTCCTGGGGCTGATCTTTCGGGGGAGGGAGGCGGTGGAGGAGGTGATGGACGGGGATAGGGGGGCGACGAGGAGCACAAGGAGAGAGGAGGAGCAGAACGATATGGAGGCGGAGAGGGACACTGAAGAAGATGATGAGCAGCAGTCGGAGGGGCGGAGGCATGATGGTGGAAGGTGGAAGGATGATGATGATCCTGATGATGCTGATCATGATGATGATCATGATGATGATGCTGATGATGATGCTGATGATGATGCTGATGCTGATGCTGATGCTGATGATGATGATGATTGATGATGATGATGATGATGGATGAGGATGAGGATGAGGATGAGGATGAGGATGAGGATGAGGATGAGGATGAGATGATGATGGATGATGATGATGATGATGATGATGATGATGATGATGATGATGATGATGATGATGATGATGATGATGGAGGAAAGAGGAGGAGGAGGAGGAGGAGGAGGAGGAGGAGGAGGAGGAGGAGGAGGAGGAGGAGGAGGAGGAGGAGGACACGGTAGAACTCCGTCGCCAGAAACCTCCAGAGGTCCTCTCCGAAAGCCGCTGGTGATGCAGCATAGGCGCGAGGGCACAGGGGATGCTCGGGCGTCCCAGCCGACTCGGGGAAGCTGGAGCGTCAGCCCCCTGGGATCGACCTCCCGACGGGTGTGGCCCTGTTTCGGGCTCACGGCGGACTGGGCGAGAGCCCCTCGGAATCCGTGGCCCGCGAGCGGGCCAGGCCCCGCGCAGTGGCTCCCGTGGATCTGCTGCCCGACGGGCCCCGGCGGGGCCTGCGGCCGCGTCTTGGGCGGCTGTCCGGCGCCCCTCGCTCGTCTGGGCTCCTGGTCGTCCCGTGCACGCGATGGGGTGGTGCCGTAATTCGCTGCAGAGCTGGCGAGGATAAGGTCTAAGGAGGGGGCGAGGGAGGGGGGAGAGGAGGAGGAGGAGGAGGAGGAGGAGGAGGAGGAGAAGTCGGTGGAAGCAGGGGGATGATTAGGAAATAGGGGCGAGCACGTGGAGGATGAGGAGTAGAAGGCTGTGGAGGGTGAAGGGGGACGAGTACGAGGACGAGGTCGAGGAGGAGAGAAAAGGACAAGGGAAGGATGAGGATAGGGACAATCGTAAACCCAAGACCCATCAACCATGTTGAAATACACCTTCCCTCCAAGCTCCCTCCTCATAGGCTCCTGCAAGCACTCAGTTTCACTGAGGGAAGTGCCCCTCTGGGAGAGAACATGTTGAAGATTCTGAAGCGTGCCAGAACACGATTCCCAGGAATTCAGCGCCTAGAATCAGTAGGAATGTTGCGTGCTGACAATGGTGAATCGTGGCTGAATATCATTATTCGGGCTTCAGCTCCGCGAATCAACGTAGCTGCTGCGCACTGATCATCCTGCATCGTTCCAGCACACCGTGCCTGATACGTTAACCATGACATCTGCGAATTCTTGCACATGGTTAAGACGAGTGTCCGCGGCGCTAAGGCGAGAGTCACATCTTGAAAAGGAACCGCCCTCCATCTGGGCAGCTCTTGCAATTTCTTAAGACGAGTGTGCGCGGCGCTGAGGCGAGAGCCACATTTTGAAAACGACCCGCCCTCTATCCATGAAATCTGGCACATGTTTCAAACGAATGTGCGCAACGCTAAGGCGAGAGCCACATTGGAAGCGGCCCGCCCTCCATCCGTGAAGCATCACAAGCGGTAAGGGAGTCTCAGACCAAACGCCCGGCCCGCCCCTCTGACTGGCCTCGGAATGCGACATGGATGAGTTAGTTATGAGGAATGGGGGAGGACAGGAATACGGACGACCAGTAGGGGAAGGAGGAACCCGATGACACGCAAGACGATCCAAGGAAGAGGCCAGGGCAGGACGAGGGGTGGCTACAAGATCGGCTGCATTAGTGATCCAAGGAGGGGGGCAGTAGCATGAAAGGAGGATGAGCCGGTGGAGTAGGAAAGTGATGCTGATGAGGAGCAAGAAGAGGATAAGGATAATGATGTAGGGATATAGAGATCAGGATGCGGATCGGGATGGAGATAGGGACATAGGATATGTGTGCAAGGGAAAAGGGCCAATGGTATAGAGATAGGGAAATCGACAGAGGGTAGCGATAGGGAGGAACAAGAAGACAACAGGAGACAACTGGGGGCAACGCGAGACAATGGGAGACAACGGGGGAATGAAGCCCAACCCATTTCAGGTCGGGGTCGCCCCGCACTTGGCTTCTATAAGACCCTTACAGATAAGGCTTTTAGGGTACCAGGTTTACGACGAGGAGAAGCTGCGCGACGACCCCGGCCACGACGCCGACGACGGCCACATCCACGACCACGGCGACGAAGATAACCCTGGGCAGCGACGACGACCACGACGTACAACGACGAACGACGTGCAACGACGAACGACAGCGAACGACGCCGACGCCGACGACGACGCCGACGCCGACCAACAAAAATCGGCGCGGTCCGAGGAGAAGCTGCGCGACGATGGCGACGGCGGCCGCGGCCGCTCGGACAGCCGCCGGCGCTCCCCCTCGCGCCGCCGCTCCTCGTCGCGCAGGCGCCCTCCGTCGGCCACCGCCGCTCGTCGGCGCCCGCCGTCGCACGGCGCTCGTCGGCCGCCGCGCGGGGCGCTCGTCGCCGACCGTGGTCGTTCGTCCGGCGCTCGTCCTTCGGCCGCCGCCGTTCGTCGTGGTCGCCTTCGTCGCTCGCCGTGGTCGCCCTCGTCGTTCTCTTCGTGGTCGTCGTCGCTTGACGTGGCTCGCTGGCATCCTCGCTGTCCAGCGTCGGTGTCGTCGCCGTAGCCGTGAGCCCGGCCGTGGCCGCCGTCGGCGTCGTGGTCGTTGTCGTCGCCATCGTCTTCGCTGCCGTCGTCGTCGTCGTCGTCGTCGTACCTCTTGCCCAGGGCGAGAGAGGTTTGAGGGATGGGGTCGACGAGGAGGAAGAATGGGAGGAGGGAGGCGACATCCACAGGATCTTGCAGCCACCAGAAACCAGGAACCAGTAGGGGGAGGAGGAGGAAGAGGAGGAGAAGGATGTTTGGGGAGAGCGCTGAGGGAGAGTAGAGCCGCAGCATCGTCTGCCAAGGCCAGGACGCCAGCATGGCAGCCACCAGACCGAAGACCTGAACTGCGGCGCAAACCACCATGTTATAATGTCCGACGCGGTTGCAGGCACCTCCACAAAGTCAGCAACCAGCGACCAGCGACCCCGAGTGAGGGGCCACCCCGATCCCGCCACTCCCATCACTTGGGCACACCCCTCACACGTTTCGTGCCCCATACGGAGCTCCACCGAAGTCGGCGCCAGTGGCTGCGTTCGCATGCCGCCACCGCTCTCAGTTTGGCGCATCCCTCACACGCTTCGTGGCCCCATAATGGAGCTTCACCGAAGGTTCCAGTGGCTGCGTTCGCATGCGCCCCCCCCCTGAGTTTGGCACACCCTTCACACGTTTTATGGTCTCATACGGAGCTCCACCGAAGGCTCCAGTGGCTGCGTTCGCATGCCGCCCCCCCCTCAGTTTGACACATCCCTCACACGCTTCGTGGCCCCATAGGGATCTCCGCCGAAATCCCCAGTGGCTGCTTTCGCATGCCGCGCCCGCATGTCTTCTCCCGCTTCTCCACGCGCCTGTCAGCCGCAACGGGTCACGTCAGCATGTAACTCGTTTCGTCTGACCTCCGCGCCCCCTGCGGGCGGCCCCAGTGGCAGCCCCCGCATGGCGGCCCCGCCTCATTTCGGCGTTTGTTTTCCCCGTAGTGAGCTCCCCCGAAGGCGTGGTTCACAACGTCGGTAATCACAGCTGCACGCGGTTGGGTCTTGCGCAGGGATAACTGTTTTGGGCTCGTGGCCCAGGGCTTTGAGCTGGAGAGCGCGCCGACGTGCGCGCCAGCCAGAACAAGGAACCCCAGTTGAGGCCAGTGGTCACACGGACCATGTTGGCGTTGCGCCTGCACGCGTACCTGGTGCGCTTCCCACTGCGTCGGCTTCCAATGCTCTAGCCTGCGGCCCGCTCTGGCCCGAACGCGGTGTGATCGACATCGCTTTGACAAAAGGGTAATTAGCCCCAAAGGGGGGGATGGCGAAGACAATCGCTCTTCGTGCTTCGCGGTCTTGGCTGGAGGGTTCCACAGGGGCGCCGCGCGAGAGCGCGACCAGCTACTCTTTGGGTACAGCTTGTACAGGAGCACGAGAAGTTCCACTTTGATTCGGATGGGCCTGGTCCTGTCAGTAACCCCTGGCGCTGGATCGCCACTCCCGTCAACGAGCTCGCGGCTTGCCCCCTGTTTCACCTCGAGTTATTCTGCGTGCTGGTTTTCCCGTGCGCCGCTTGTCTGTGGCTTTTCACCCGTGTCTCCCGTCAAAGATCACCAGACACGACAGGCACCGCCTCAAGCGCGGACAGAGCAGAGCATAGACGGGCAGGGGAAGGGGATGATCACGAGGAGGTGGCGTGATGGGGGGGCGAGGGGAAGAGGAGGGCCAGGTCTTCAGGCCTTCAGATGAGGCGTGAGAGGAGGAAACGGACTAGGAGGAGGCTGCGACTGACTGCCCCGGGTGCTCCGTGCAGCGCCCTCGTTGACGACGCCTCCCTGTTACCCTCCCTCCCCTCTCCCCTCCAGCTCCCTCTTCCACCTTGTTCACCTTCCGCGTCCCTGCCTCTCTCACGTCGTCCCAGTCGCCGCCACCACTGCCGTCGTCCTCGCCCTTCTTCTCGACGATGTCGACGCTGGCGGCCTCGGCGTAGGCGTCGGCGTCGGCGAGGTGGTGGTAATCGTCCTCGTCGGCGTCGTCGGCGGCGTCGGCGCGGTGGTAGTTAGTTGTCGTCGTCGATGGCGTCGCCGGCGTGTGCTGGTGGTGGTCGTCGTCGGCGTCGGAGTCGGCGTCGGCGTCGGCGTCGGCGTCGGTGTCGGCGTCGGCGTCGGCGTCGTTGTCGTCGTTGTCGGCGTCGGCATCTGCGTCGTCGTCTTCGTCGTCCGCGTCGGCGGCCTTGGCGTCGTCGGCGTCGCCTTGCGGCAGCCAGGCGCTCGCCCTCGCGCCGCGGGCGCGGGCGCTCCGACTCGCGCTCGCGCTCGCGCGGGCGCCGCTGAGCGGGGGCGATGAGCGGGGCGGCGAGTATGGGCAACGAGGGCTCGGGGGGCAAGGATGCGGAGGATGATTAAGGCAAAGGAGGAAGCGGAGGAGAGGGATTAGGGGGGAGGGTGGAGAGGGAAGTGGAAGGTGGGAGGTGGAGCAGGGGCAGGAGGAACAGGATGGAGGAGACAGGGGGCGGCGACGACGTGGGCGAGGATCGGGAGCGTAAGGGTGACCCTCTGCACGGACCTGCGCCCTTGGACTTGGCCCCCCTGTCGCCCCAGGAAGCCGCGCTCCAAGGGTCATGCTTAAGTCAGGCACGTCCCTCTACAGGAGGAAAATTCAGACATAGTTATAAACATAGTCTGAGAACGATTTCTCTGTCATTTTTGAAACCGTTTTTGAGCATTTTGTCGATCATGCTTTTTGTCCTTCAAGCTCCGGGCTGTAGGAGGGCATGCCCGACCTAAGGTCACTCCTCCCCGGGGCCGCTCTTGCGTGCAGCCGAGGGCCGGCCAGGGGCCCAGGCTCTGGTCGAGGAGGCCAGCGCACGCGGGCGGCCAGCGCGGGATCTCGGGGCACTGAGCATCGAGGGCGGGGGGATGCCGGGGGGGGGGTGCGCCCGGAGGTCTCCAGGAGACGTCCGGGGACCTACCGGGAGGGAGAAAGGGCATCAGTAACACGTTGCCGCTTCGTTTCTTCGTTCCGTCAGCGTGAATTCGTTCGTTCCTGGCCGAAGGCATGCTTTTCCTCCAACTGGCGCGCTCACTGTTCTCCACGGCGGAACGGTCTTGACATTGTGTTTGCTCACCCAAACCATGGAGGATGTGGGCGGGGGGGTAAGGGTGGGAGGCAGATGAGTAGGTTCAGCGCTGGGCCACGGCGCGGCGAGTGTCCATCCGAACGCCAGGAGCGATGGCACCCCCCATTTGGCTTTCGAGCTTCTTTCCGTTCCTGTCTTTCCTCCTCCTCAGGTGTCGGTTTTTGCCCGCAGTGGGTGCGAACATCAGATGGTGTCAAACCGAGGGCATCGAACCACACCTGCCATCTTTTATGACACGTTCTGCGAGTCACACTCATGAGCGGTAAGCGAGGGAGGCGCGAATTGTTATCCTGGTTCCCCTCCTGTTTCTTCTTCTTCTTCTTCTTCTTCTTCTCCGCTTCCTGCTTCTTCTCCTCTCCCTCCTCCTCCTCCATGTCTGTCTCCTCCTCCTCCTCCTCCTCCTCCTCCTCCCGCTCCTCCTCCTCGTCCATATCCTCCTCCTCCTCCTCCTCCTCCTCCTCCTCCTCCTCCTCTTCCTCCTCCTCCTCCTCCTCCTCCTCCTCCTCACCCATCCTCTCCCAGGCCTCCTCCTCTCTTCATCCTTCCATCACCCGAACATCATACTCTTGACGCTCCGCGCATCTCCACTGCTCCGCCCGCCTTCCGCTTTCGCCTGCCTCTGTCTCCGCTTTGTAGCTTTCGCCACCCTCTTTTTGTCCCCTTTCCCGCGTCACACTTGCGACAGCAGGGCTTGCGCTACTCTTTCGACCTTATATGACGGCGCGCGGCTGGCCGCGTCGCTCGCGAGCAAAACGCATCCCCACTGCTCCACCCAGGAACGTCCGCCAGGCGACCTGCCTCGTTCAGGGGAGAGTAGGAGCATCCGGCGGAACAGCCTGGCGGGTCAGCCGCCACGCCCAGCTCGGAGCTGACCTGCGCAGCCTGCGCATATCTAGGCGTGGGCTCGCTGCGCCTGCTGTCGGAGGAGGCGGTTGTCAGCTCTCCCCAAGGCTTTGAGCCACTAGTGGCGTTTTATTCCTGCTCTTTTGGCCTCCACTTTTGTTTGTTGGTTTCGTTCTTGCGGCGCGCGCTGGACTCGCGCTCCGCACCCCGTTGTTCGTTACCGTTTTTGTCGGAGCCGGGCCTTATGGATTGGCCCCCTCTTTCTCGATGGGGATGGCTGCATCGCGGGCGCGCGCGTGCCCATTGCTGCGCATCTCGCTCACATGGTTCGCGGCCATGGCGGTTGCGCGGGGCGGGGCCGGGTGCATGCCCAACGGCATGCGCTTTCCATTATAGCGGCGGAGTTGTCTTGAACGCGTGGTCTCTAGTCTGGCGCGGTGTAAAGTTGCCCGCCAACGCCCTTCCGACAGTGTCAAACACCCGCAGGTGGCCATGCGCCGCCCCGCAGGCACTCGGAGGCCTCCGCCCAGCGTCGCGCCCAGAGGGCCGCGTAGTGAGTCTGGCGAGTGTTTCTCAGTCTTGCTGGTCGCGCTCGGCATCCTTGCGCGCGCTGACAAGGGGCGTTTTCTGCAAACCGCTGCCGGAGGCCCAGCGAGCCCCAACGCAAATTGAATTGATGAGGGAGCTTGAGCGCTTTCCAGCATAAGCAAGAACGTTAGGTTGCAGAGGGAAGCCTTGGCTACAGACGTCCGAAATGGATGCCTTGCCGGTGTTTCCATATATATATATAATATATATATATATATATATATATATATGTATATATATGTATATATAAATATATATGTGCATGGGCCAGTATAGTAATAACGCATGACTCCTATTCCAGCATCGATAATTATACATGTACGGGCTGTTATAGGAGACGATATGCACGGAACAGTATAGCACGACAGCTATGCACATTTTCCCGGCCGTCCATGTACGCAGAGGGCGTCTCTCGAACATTCCGTTTTGGATGAGCATTGCCTCGCGGGGTTCTCGTGTGGCTGTGCTATGCTCTCACGGGTTTCATGGGGGTCGCTCATCGGGCTCTAACGGGTCTCGTGGGGTTCGCTGGTCGGGTTCGTCGGGCTCTCACGGTCTCGGAGGGCCACAAAAAGATTCCCAAAAGGCCCTAAGAGGGCCCCCAGATGCACCCAAGAGAGCTGATCAGGACCCAAACAGGGCTCCGTGAGGGTCCCAAGAGGCCTTGGAGATGTGTCACGGCCGTGAACCATCTCGGGGCCCTCTCGAGACCTTATTGGCCCCCCCTCGGAGCTTTCTCGGGCCCTGCAAAGACGGCGGTGGAGGCCTCAAGAGGGCCCACCCCCGGAGGGGGCGGCCGCCCCCCCTTGCGCTGGGCTCCGGGGCGGCGGGCGGCCGGGACCGGTCACGCAGGGCCCGGGGCGCCCGCGGGGGCGCCCCCCCCCCCTGGGGGAGTGATGTTGCCGCCGTCGCCGGGGCACCTGGGCGACGGCGGCCGGAGGAGGGGGCAGGGCGGCTCCGGGGGCGCCGAGCTCCGGGGCGGCGGGCGACCGGGGCAGGTCATTCTGGGCCGGGGGCGCCCGGGGCACCCGCCTAGCATCCTATATTCCCTTTCTCATTTTGCATCCTACTCCTCTTGCGTCCTATCCCTCCTGCATCCTATTTTTCTTCCCCCTCCCTCGTCCTCCTCCTCCCCCTGCCTCCTCCTGCCTCCTCCTTCTCCTCCGGCTCCTCAGGGCACCAAGGGCCCCAGAGCATTCAGAGGGCTCTTGGGGTCCCCACTGCACTCCCCACTAGCGCCCCCACTAGCGCCCCACTAGCGACTGTCACTCGGTTCGTGGCCATGCCGAGTTGGCTTGAAGTCGAGTGCGAACTCGAGTGCAAAGTCCCGCGGAATATGTCACCTAGTGGGAACCCTAGTGGGCGCCCGCCCTAGTGGGGGCCTTAGTGGGGGCGGGGGCCCTAGTGGGCGCCCTAGTGGGTCCCTTAGTGGGCGCCCAAGTGGGCGCCTCAGTGGGCGCCCTAATGGGTCCCTAAGTGGGCGCCCTAGTGGGGCTTCAGTGGGTCCGCTACTGGGCCCTGGTGGGGCCTTAGGGAAATAGTGGAGGCCCTAGTAGGCGCCCTAGTGGTGGCCCTAGTGGGCGCCTTGGTGGGTCCGTTAGTGGGCGCCCTAGTGGGCGCCCTCGTGGGTCCCTTAGTGGGCGCCCTGGTGGGGCTTCAGTGGGTCCGCTACTGGGCCCTGGTGGGGACCCTGGTGGGGCCTTAGTGAGGGCCCTAGTGGGGCCCTAGTGGGGGCCCTAGTGGGGACCTCAGTGGGCGCCCTAGTGGGCGCCCTCGTGGGTCCCTTAGTGGGCGCCCTCGTGGGGATTCAGTGGGTCCGCTATTGGGCTGTAGTGGACGCCCTCCTGGAGAAGCCTCGTTGTTGCCTGGTGGGCTTCTGGATGCGAGCTCCGAGTGGCTTCGCCCAAGAGAGTCCGAAAGGGTTCAAGACCTACCGACGAGAACCCGACAGAGCCCAACGTGAAGAGGAAAATGAGAGAGGAGGAGCCCGACGGAGCCCGACAGAGCCTGACGAGAGGAGCAGGATGACAAGGAGAGAGGAGGAGGGAAGATGACAAGGGGAGATGAGGAGCCCGACGGGTCCCAATCGAGCCCCAAAGAGCTCAACGAGAGCCTCACGAGAGCCCCCGTGGAAGCCCGACGAGAGACCCACGAGAGCCATTCATACGAGACCCCGAGCGAACCCCGAGGAACGTCCTGCGAAAGCCCCGCAGGGGAACCCCATGAGAGCCCCACAGGAACCCCGCGAGAGCCCGATGAGCAAGCCCTACGTGACCCGTGAGAGCCCAACAACGCCCCGCGAACACCCCGCGAGGCAATGCTCGTCCAAAAGACAGCGCTCGAGAGGCAGGCAACGTACTTGGACGGTCGAGTAAACGTTACCACAATTGGGATACACTTGTGCATCGCTCTCGTTCTACACTGGCCCATGCACGTAGGTTCCTTTGCCCGCCCATCCCCGCATTTTTTTTATGCCGGCCGATGCTCAATGATGTGGCCTATGCCGGCCAATGTGTACATGCTAATACAGTGGCCCACGCATTTATCGTGCACGTCTTTGGCGAAGGCCCCTTCTGCGGCCGAATTTTTTGTACGTATTGAAGCACTGCCGACGGGTCGATGGGCCTTCGGCAGTCGTCTGCAGACAGCGACCCGTGTCAGAGCTCGCAGGGATGCCGAGGGCGACCGACGTAGCAGTGCAACACTCGCCAGACTCACCATGCGAGCTTCCTGGGGGGCGACACTGGGAGGAGGCCTCCCAGCGCCTGCAGGGCGGTGTATGGCCATGTGTGAGCGATTGGCAGTAGCGGGGAAG